ATATAAGATTAGCTCTTCAGAACTAAGAAAATTAACTCGATTTTTTAAGGATCAATCATCAATTTTTCCGCAGCTCTCACAAACTCTTAAAAAAACAAATTGATATCGGCATCAATAATATTATTTATTTATTTATTTCATTAAAATGATAAATACGTTACTCAACCTGCGAAGTACCTATTCAGGGATATAATATTAAGCTAATAACATAAAAACCAATCCTAACCATAGGCAAAATGAGATCCCTGCTTTGCTTATATATTAAATCGCTAACATTAAAAAGCTTCCAGGGACTTGCTCTCCCAAGTGTAGCTTTTTCACGAAATCTGCTAGATCTTATTTGCATTACTATTACGCGAAACCTTCTCATCCTTCTTGGTGTTCACGCTTCGACACTTTACATGTCCCTTATTCAATCTATAACCTACCTATACCATTCTCCTCTTATTTTCTCTAGCGGTTTCATCTTAATCTAAGGCACTCTTCTCTTAACTTCTCTCTCTTCGACTTCTAATTCTATTTCACCATTATTGCCTTTCTGCAACTATCCAAAACTACATTATTGCAATTTATGTCTTTATTTTAACTCTAAATGTGTGTGATATTCAGTATTTCTTGGACATATATTATTTCCACTTTGTATGAATAGAATTTGGATAGGCAATGGTCCATTGGTTTCAGTTCCAAAATTGACAGCAATTTACTGTTATTATCGTCTTGTCCTGACGAAATTTGTAGGTAAATATGAGAAGAAAGACAATAAGTAGTGACTCAACGGGCATATTGGTCGGTTTCATGCTAGAAAACCCAGTCGCTTGAGAATGTTCCTCCGTGCGGGCCCTTGCTCCTATCTTGAACTTGAGGCCGTCTAAATATCACCGCTGCCACTACCATCTCAAATTTTCTCATGGTCTTGCTTTCTGATGGATTCTTAAGGTACGGTTCTTACATTATATTTCTTTTCTTTTCATTATTATTATTGTTGACATTCCTTGGAAGACATTGAAGATTTCATGTCTAGGTGGGTATTCTATGTATTTTTACTTTTGTTAAATTAATTTTCTATTTTATAATTTCCCTCGCCTAATTTGTAACATTCCATCAACATACAATAAAACCCTTCCATTTTTCTGTTTTTTCACAATACTCAATAAACTTTAGTATAATAACATTATATTGCTTTTTTTTTTTATCTACTCCTCCATTGCTACAGGACCCACCTATAACCAGCCTCTACTCATATAGTAAATACCCTACATACCATTATCATCCATTAATTCTGACACAATTAAATTGACACATTTTTTAAAGTTATCCTATAAAAAGATTTCTATACAGTAATTGAAATCGCACACATTCACGTCCCTGCGAAGCACTAAATAATACTTGCGTTTAGGGTTGGTAAGGACGTCTATGATCAATGACTATTCGTACCTAATACCTATATACCCTAATATTATAAGTTCTTCTTTAGTATACTTCTATTAATCTCTGGCATTTGTTATATTACTCTTATTTGTTCACTCCAGGCACCTTCTTAGACTATATACATATAATTAATTGGAATGACGGGAAGTTTCTGACACGGTAGTGTTAACTAAAATCAGCGCGCAGTCCTGTGCCACTTGTCGCGAAGTATGGTGTCCTGCCGCTTCATAATTGTAGGTTTACATTGAGGGCAAACAGCCTATGTGTGATATAGAAGGGAAAGTTCTTTTTTTATATTACTTGCACCAGTTATTAGATTCGCTCCATTTTACCGGGTTGCGGCAATCACCTGAGACTACTTTACTTATTCGTCTTTAGAGCTAAAAAAGGCACTAGCTTAGGAAAATTTGCATATGTGCCATTAGTATCGAATCTCATACCTAAACCAGGGTGATCAAACTTGCAAATTTGCTTTCCATAAGCTTGCTCACGAACAACAATCTATTGTTAATCACATTACAACCCTCTTTGTGTATAAATTGTCAACTACATTTTCTGCTATTATTTTTCACAGATGTATGGATAAACCCCTCAAGTAATTCATAGATATTTATATGTTGCAATGAAGTATTATATTAAGTACCCGAATGGTTTAACCTATTTTTCCTGTCAAAGATGGGACTTGAACATGACATTTACTAACTTACTATCATGACATAAATTTTTAAAAAGCAGATTGAAGTAAATTGTAGATTATAAATGGCATAATAAATCATGTAATAAATATATGTAGTGCAAAAGTGGACAAAGACATCAACAAAATAAAATATGAAGGATTACAATCTTTAAGTCACATATACAAAAGTTTCATGAAATTCACTTTATGAAGGTTTAAATTTCTGTATTTGATATGAAAAAGAAATAAAGAAATTAACTTCTTTGAATTATGAAACATAATCTAAATTCTAAAATTCTAAAAATTATATATGCAATAGGCTACTTTAAAAAAATGAATTTAAGTTTTATTTTAAACTTTATTATTAACATGCAAAATTTGATTAAAAAAATATTTTATCACTAGAATTACGTTTCTAAAATGCAATTGCACATTTTAAAATTAAATAATATATACATAAAAGAAGTGTAATAATATAACTCAAGGTTAACTATATAAGAAGAAGCACCATCTATAAGTTATTTTAATCAGGCATCATGTTTTAAAATAGATTGCGATCGCTAACTTTTATTATGACGTGAACTTAAAATCCTTCTTCGCCCGTAATCCCAGTAGCTAGAATAATTGAAGAGCGTTTATGGCTGCTGCTTGAATTATTCTTTACTTATCTTACATCATAGAAATCCTATCTGAAGACGCAGAGGAATCTATCAAGATCAACTTAAGACCATACTCGCCTAAAACATGTAAAGAACTACATAAGCAACCTAATGAAAAAACAGGCACATGCAAAAAAAAAAATAATATCAACTAGATCTCATATAAAAGAAAGATAAGACCCAGAAAAGATTCTTGTATTTATTGTTACCTGATAGGCATCAGTAGCGCTGTAAGTTACAAAGCATTGAGGGCTCTCTAAGCATCAAAAGATGGTCTTGAATAGTGACAGCCCCTTTTTGCCTATTTTTCTTTGAGAGAGCTTTAGCTGAATGTAGGGATCGTCTAAATTTCTCAACTAATAATGGAAAAATGATCCAAATATACGCGAAGCGCCGTTCTACACCTCTTGTCTCTCTCTCTTCTTCTCTCTACTTTTGTCTGCTCTATTCTCTTTCTGATCATGTAAGCGATAAACAATATCAACTCACTCTACTCCCAATACTCATCTTAGCTATTGGCCTGACTCACGTACGCAATTGGTTTTCCTGATCTACTCGAAAAGTTTAAAAGTAAAAGACATAGTTGGACACACTTATTCTCTACTAAAATCTAGCTAACCGCGAAGTTCATCGTCCTCCTTGAGTTTGGAACAGACACTAAGAAAACTCTTAGAGAGTATATCGACTCCACAAAAACATTGCTCACCTTCCCCGCATCGCGGTGGCACCTACTTTAATCAATCAAGACACAAGATTTGCAAATACCAAGGCTGCACGTCAATCCAATGATAGCAACACAGTGTTGCCAAGCTTGTGCTTTCTCATCACAATCTGCAGAAATGCTCAAGAAATTTAGAATCCTACTATTAAGCATTAAATCCATCGGAGCTACTTCGATATTGGAAGAAAAAAGGATGGTGTAATGAAACTTCAGATAATTCCCATTGAAGGTCTACAAAATCTTTGCACCTCTTGTTTATTTTTGGATGAGTTGACAAGCTGTCTTATTCAAAAGTTGAGTTAAGAAGTTCTTTTTTTTTTTGTCTAAAATATGCATTGAATATTCATTGTCCAGGAAAAAAAACGAAATATATTCATCAGATATAAATACTCAGCGAAGTACGCCAAGGGTATCTACAACCTCTTGCCACTCTCTCCCACGCGAATCCCTCCTTCAATTATTCTACGCATACGACCTTCCTCCTATCTAAGTCAGCATGATCCCTATAAACAATCCTTCCCATAACATCTATTATCACGATCTACCCTCCCTTCCGTCTGGTGCTCGCGTATCCATCTATTAATATATAAATTCACTCATATCTACCTAGTGTATTTATATCTAACACCATCTGTTTGCTAAGCCATAAAAATTGCAAAATGACCAATCTTGCAATAAAAGCGCAACTGGACATGATTTAAGGGTGCTAGACAATCTATAGAATTTTTCAAAGACATTGTTAAAACTAGATAAACTGAACTAGGAAATATAATTGCTCACAAGGAAAAACCGGTACAGGGATAACTGCATTTCATTCGAAATTTGAATGTTCGATTAGATAAATTGTATTTTCATGATATAAAAGTATTCTAATTTATATGGTGAAAGCAGCAATGAATGTTCCATGAGAAGGATCTACTATCGAATTATTGATTTTACAAGGCAAACCTTGATTTAGTTATATTCTCTAATGATTTCGATAATCTGTTGGTATGATGTAGAGTACTTTTACTCTACAAATGTAATGAAGAAATAATCCAACATCAATGAGATTAGTTCAATCAATTCAATTTCTGATAAGTGAAAGATAATTTTTGGCAGGTTGCTATAAATGAGCTGATAGAAGCTATCCGTTCTTTGTGGTAGTGGTGTGACATAAAAACTAGTATTCTTCAGCACACACACACACTATTACTTATATTTTAAAAAAAAAAAAAAAAAAAAGAAAAAAAAAAAATAAGAAAGAGAGAGAGGAAAATGCCTTTATTTATTGTTGTCGTAAAGATATATATTTTAGGAAAATGAAGTTTCAAATTATACTAGAATAAACTGTGCATATATACCCCTTGCTCCGACGCCACACAAAAGGGTCTTCGGCATCATCATGTGTCCAGAATACATTCAAGTCAATAAACCAAGTAGCCCAATGTGAAACCATGCCTTCCATTAGCATAATTGTGATTAACATGCCTGAGAAAAAAAAAAAAAAAAAAAAAAAAAAAAAAAAAAAAGAAGAGAGAAGAGGAAAAATGCCTTATTTATTGTTGTCTAAGATAATGTTGGAAATAGAAGTTTCAAATTATCTAGTAAACTGTGCATTTACCTGGTGGAGTGCCACAACAAAGTCTTCGATCATCAATGTGCTCTACATCAAGTCCAATAAACCAAGATCCCAATGAAACATCCTCATTAGCATACTTGTGTAGAACATGCCTGAGATAATTGTCCACAATAGCTATCACAATGCAAGAACATAACACCAAATAGGCAATACTATCAAAGAAAGCACTCATAAGCCTGCATCTTACATTTCAAATGAAATGGAACTTACTGGTTTATTGATATATACGTAGCCAAATCTTTTGAAATTGCATATAGCTGTCCAGTAGCATGGCGGAAGTATTTATTTCCTGCCTCACCAAATTTCCAATACTCTGGTTCATGATATCTTACTCCCCTGTTGAGTGAAATCAGCAGTTAATAATCTACTACTCAATTACTTTCTTAAAATTCTTCGCGAAATGATTAAAAAAAATTAACTTACTTTTGATTAAGTACAGGACCAGATTTCATGCATCCAATGTATACCCGTTGTTTCTTTCGATGTCTAACTAGAGTTTCTCCAAGTGTTGCTGCATCAACTTACCAGCAAATGGATTAGCATTGCAGAGAAGTATGAAAAACAAATTACCACAAGATGTTTAACACAATAAAACAAATCTTCATCCTGATAGGAACTAAAAAAGGCCATTAATAGTAACTGTCATATGCTAGAGGCTTTAAAAAATTTAAAGGACCTAAATTTTTTACATATGAGTACACATATAATTGTTCTCACGTCTTTCCACATTGATTTTTGTTTCTCAATTGCAGAAAAATAGTACCACGTTAAACAACACCTTCACCTAATTATATCTCCCACTAACAAAAGAAGTATTGAGAAGGTATATATTGTTGTACCTATATTTACATGGACATCATCATCAACTTTGACATAGAAATCTGCATCCCACAAAGCAACAGCAGTAGCAAAATATATCTTTGTTTTTGCAGACAATTCAAGGTACCCTTCAACATGGTCCTGCTCACAAGATAGAATCACAAACATTAGAACTCATGTACTTTGCTTTTCCCCAGACTTCCCCTTTTTACCCCTTTAAGTGAACATAGTTTTAATGAAATATAAAACATAGACGAATAGATTACAAAAGCCTTACCAATCTCAAAAAATCTCCATGCTTTTTATCCTCTGCTTCAATTGCTCTGTCCAAAATGCCTCCAGATGTGGCACTAGATAACATAAAAATAGTTTTTTAAATTATATTAAATCCATAAGAACATTTCTAGAGAGCATAATTCAGAAGTGGCACATTTCTCCAAAATGCCTCCAGAGCATAAGCACATTAAATCTATTAGTTTTCAGTTATGTTAATCACATTTCTAGAGAGCACAAGTATAATTCATAACTTTCACGAGACTCATCAATGTTTACTTGACGTTTAGAAATAAGATGGCATTCAAAATTTTGAAACTATTTCAGATTAATTTCCATGCACAGCTGATAAACTTTGTCTCAGAGACTGATATACAATAATGATCCCTTGTAAATAAACTCTGCTGTTTAGTCATGTAGATTGAACATTCTGCTGATGATAAAATGAAGTGTACTGTGTATATAAATATCAATACCGATCAAGCTTGTGAGAAAGTGACCAAAAGTAAGTTCTATATTTCTAACAATTCCCAAAAGTAAGTTCTATATTTCTATATTATACCTTTACCATGTTCCAATATAAGAAGTTGGAACACATTTCATGAGATCCAAAGTCATTTTATGCGTATAATTATTCCAGAAAGGAAAAACTTGTCACCTTATCTCAAACGTTATGAAATATGTAATTAATTCTTGATAATAAAAGCCACGTCCATGGGAGGCCAAATGAGCTGAATGCTCCAGGTAAGGTGATCATAAGCATTAGTATTCAAGGCTATATGTTGGCAAGCCAATTTTTTCAAGTTTTTTCCAGTACCCACCAAGATACATCTGGTCATTCAAGAAAGATGACTTTGATGATATCATGTGTTTAGTGAAGACCATGACCTAGAATACATTAGCTATACTGAATTAAATCGATTTATATATACCTCACAACTTGAAGAGATAATACGCATAAAAATTCTAATTAAAAAATATTAATATTCATCCGTACAAAGGCCAGAACTTTCAGTTCTACTTAAGGGACTGGCAATGTGACATATCAAGATAGAAATTCTAGCACAAAATGTACCTCCACATATTCAAATCATAAAATGAGATTAGAACTCTCACCTATGACCAATGACAAAACGAACAATGATACCCTTCTCTTCTTCCAGTTTCCTCCTTTTTTCACCTAGTATCAATAATTTTTCAAATAAACCATTCAAAAGGTAAAGATATCTAACCAGCAAACAGAATGGCATAAGAATATTGATAAGAAAGAAGAAAAGAAGCAAATGAACAATCTATGAACCTTGTGGCATCCATGTTGCACGAACTGAATCTCTTCTTTTCCTGCTACTGAAAGCAGTATTAATTCCAATCACCATCAAATACCTTCTTTTACCAGGTGATCCAGTCTTCTTCAAATCCTCTGACAAAGGAGAGCCACTTAGTATGGACTCCTGTGCCGCCCTTGCAGCAGCCAATTCCATCTCTAAATTTGAGATAGTCTTATCTAATGTGCTATAATCCACTAGTATGATTAGCTTGGTACTCAAAATAAGTCTTTAAAGAACAGTTATGAGCATTTATAAGCTATACTCACTGTATGGCACTATGAGTCTTGTACACTTCCCCAATAATATCTTTAGAGTCACGCCTCACTTCTTTCTGATGCAACTAATGGGGCAAATCAGACAAAAAACAAACATTTGAATGAGGAAATTAAAGAAGAATACTAATAATAATATTAGATAAACGCCTGGAAATGTTTGAGTAAATTTGTCAGCTAGACTAAAAGAAAATCTTGAAATAATAATAGAGATAGATACCCACAGTTTTAATTCCACAACCCTCTGAAACCAATTTTAGTTTATCGGCTTCCATGGCGGTTGTCCGCGTGATACCTTTGGACTCAGGAACTGCCCACATCCTGTCACCATTTTCTCCAATTGTCATCATAAATTAAAGTGCCAACAACAATTGACCTCAATGAAATTTTGATCACAATTTGAATTTAGAAAAACAATAATAATAGTAATAATAACAAGCATGTAGGTAATTTTGATGATAACATTTATCCTATATAAATTTTGACTGCAACAGAATTCAGAAAATGAATTAAATGCTAACAGATCTTCTCTTCCTGCCAACTGGTTTATTCTAGTGTTTATAAAATGGCTAATTCAACAATTTTATCAGGCACTTGCAGTCACAACTACAATATATTGAATAAAGATAATGACAATGTACAACGAGAGCCAGAGATTTTTCTATCCATTAATGTAGAAGCAGGTTCAATAAATAGCTGGAGCTATTTTTTCCAATTTTTCCAGCAATAACCAACACCCAAGAAGGGAAAAAAATAAAAAATAAAATAAGAAAAAACATTTGAAGTAAAATGAAAGTGGCTTTGACTTCTTTGTTTAGACCAGAATAAACTTGCCCGTAAAATTAATAAATAAAAGATAGAAAAAAGCAAAAATAACACTGCAAACGTTGATTCTACACAAGACTCTAAATTTGGATCTCAATTAATAGACCTCCAAAAAAAAAAACCCAGAAATTATAAATTCAAGAAAACCTTCCAAAACATGAAGATTCCAAATAATTCAAGAGGCACCATTTGATTAAAACATACGTCTCCTACCACATATAGATCTCAAAAGAAACCAATAGACTCAAAATTTGACAAAAATAGCATGTACCGTCCTATGAAAATATTGAACTAAAGTAAATTGGATAAAAAAAATCCTCACATAACAAAACAACCTTCACAAAGAATTGCACCAACTGAAAGTTCATTGAAAAAGGGGAAAAATTAGAAAATTAAGAAATATACACCTATTGGTGAATAGCATTCCAGCACAGAAACAACACAAACAAAGAAAAAGAGTCCATTTCTGTGATATAAAACTTTTAGAAGAACTCTGCTCTCCTCTGCTCTTCGAAGACATTCTTCTTTCTTCCTTCTATTTGTTTTTCTTTCTTAATGTTTACAAGTCCTCTCTTCTATTCACAGACCAATAGCTTCTTTAACAGAAAACCCATCTGAAAAGCAAAGAATAGAAGCCGAATCGAAGATACCCAGAAAGAGAAGAAGCAAAAGGAAAGGACTTGGGCAAAATTTGAAAGACGAGAACATGAACAAGTTTTGAGACAGAGAGGGAGAGAACAGATAAAACAGAGAAGGTGCTCTGTTTTCTTATTTTTAACTTGTTAATGTTAATGTTTTTGTTCTTTCCTTTATCCTTTTAGCTTTGTATATATTGTTCTCTCAACAAGAACAAATTGTGGGGAAAAAAAAAAAAAAAGAAAAATTAATTGACAAGAAAAAGGAAAATTCTTCATCTCTGCTTTGCAGGCAAGGGACGTTGAACAGAAGTGAGAAGACCCACTACTAACCGCTCATTCTTTGTTATTATTCTGAATTTACCAAACTTTCCTTGTCAGACCTTCCTCATTTATTAACCCTGACTCTGTGTCTGAGTAAAACAATCTCTACTGCAGTACAGTGTTTTTTTCTAAAATAAATTTTAAAAAAAGAGTTTACTACGTTGACATTAATGCCCCTGACCCTACTATGGATTTGTTTGGCAACGATAGCCCTTTTAGTAGCTATTAGTTGTTGTAGTAGAGAAATTTTTAAGTAAACACAGTTTTCGACATCGACTGTAGGTTCACCCAATGAAATAAAGTGACTTGTTTTTTTTAGTTTATTTCCTATTAATTCTTTCACGTATTCCTTTTGGTTAGAAATGAAAAACCTATTGCCTAGGAATTATTGATGTGGAACGGGAAAAAGGATGTAGCTTTATTTCATTGGATGAGCCTACAGTTGACGTAGTAGATTCTAACCAAATAGAAAATGTGGAAGAATTTAGAAAAAAAAGTAAGTTGCTCATGTGGCTTTATTTCATTGAATGAGTTTATAGTTGATATGGTAAACTAAATCTACCTAAGAATTTCTCCAGCTATTAGCTATCGGCAAAAATTAACTGTTTTTGGTAATTACTAGATGTTTTAGTATCTTTTAGTCATTTTAATAGCTAGTACCTATTTGAATATATTTTCACAAAATGCTAAAACTATAGGGTTAATTTTTTATAAAAGGTTACTTTAACCTCTAAAAACTAATATAGCGTCTAGCGTTTTTACTAATAAAAAAAAAACTAAAAACTACTTAAAAATTTATTGTCAAACACGGCTTTTAGCTGATATATAGCAATTTTAAATTAGAAGTGTGCAATTTAATTAGCTGTTTAACTTTTTTTTTTTTTTTTTGACATTAGCTGTTTAACTTAAAATCATAAAAAATGACAGAAAGAAAAACACAATGGATATAATTGTCAAAAAATTTAATTAAACATTAAAAGCCAAACACTAAATGTTAGAGTGTTTAATGTTTCATAAAAAACTCTTTCAACCTCTAAAAGCTATGTTATCGAATGTTATTATGGAATAGGGCCTTAATTTCTTTTATTTTTTTATTTAAAATAATAATAAGCATTTTTATCGGAATTTTTGATAAAAATAATATTTTGTAAAAACTATTTGGTGAAACTAAAACTATTTAAAAATCTAATACTTCTCCGCTCATAGATATGGATGGCAATTTTATCCTAATCGCGGGTACCGATCTAATTCAATTCTTTTGGCTGATTTGAATAAAGAATAAATGGATTTGGGCCGGTTCAAATTTAAGGACTTTGGTATCCTCTATCTATTACCTATTTAATTAATATTTCAAAAATATTTTAAAAAATTATTTTTAAAAGAAAATTATATGTACACATTTTTAATTATAATTAATACTATAATTATATTTAATGTTTATATTATATTTTGTATTAAATCAAAATAATAATTTTATAATTTATTACCTACTTTTATTTTTGAAAAATTAAAAATAAAAATATTTTTAATGTTAAACAGGTATTTAAATGAATTTGGGTATTTAAAAGAGTAATCATAATTGAGTTTGAATAGTTAATTTATAATCAGGTCTATATTCGAATTCGAGTAGTGTATTTTAAATTGGTACCCAACTCATTGTCATCCCTATCCATAAAGAGAGAAAGTTGCATTAAAGTCATCAATTCAATTGGTGATTTCAATTCAACATAAAAAGTAACTTGCACCGATCAATAGGCAGCAAAAAAGAGTAACCAAATAAATAAATAATAAATTAAATTAATAGTTTTAATAAAAAATTAATTATCAAATGGCTTGAATTCTATTTTGTGTGTCAAGTGGATTTCCTGTTTCACTACTCATTTTTGGGGAATCTTAGAACAACTTACATTAATTGAGACTTCAAAATTTTATGCACTAAAACCATCAAATAATGTGTGTGTTTTAGTAAAAGAAATATTTTGAGTAAATAAAATTTTTTTATTAACAAAATACTATTATCTTGTGACCGGTCACATTCCATATTTACATTAAAACCATCAAATAAATTATATATTAGTGGCATATGCCAAGGCATTGCCTAGTGTAGTGATGGAGATAGGACCCTATGGTCATGGAGCCCACTCATATATAATACTCAAACTAATTTAAAGGGTTCACAAACTATTAACTCAAAATTTTTTTATACTTAAAAAGGCATTCAAACTAATTTATGGGGTTCACAAATTATAAATATAACAATTTAAGGGGATTCACTTTGTGAAATATATTAATAATTGTTAAGAAAAAAAAAAATCTCAAGTCAGGGGGTGGACATCAACTGTATGTGCCTCTGCCACTGGCGTAGTGATAAGTGCATGTATGACCTAATAATAGACTCAGATTCAAATCCCTTTTTCCTAACACTCAAAAAGAAAATTTGTGTTATAGTGAAAAGTCATTTGATAATTTAATTTTATTAAAACCAGCAATATTTGGTGTTTTTAATGCAAAATAAAAATTACTGTTTATTCTTCTAATTTATTTTTGCTTATTAATGATCAATACTAGGTACTTTTTATGTTGTACTAAAACTGCCAGTTGAGTCGGTGGTTTTAATGCAAACATTCTCGATCCGTGGTAAGATAAATATGAAATTTAGAAATAGTTTAATTTGATATTACAGTGGTAAATTGTTTTTATAACAGTATTATTTTTGTAAAAAACTCATGTCTGAGTAAAAAAAAAGTTTTAATTACATATACATATGTATGTAATAAAAAGGCAAATTAAATATAAATGAATTATGAAATGTGTCTATGAAATTTGTAAATAATAAATAATAAATATAGAGAATGAATAATATAAAAAATGCAAATGAAAAAGAGAAAAAAAAAGGCAAATATTGTCTTTAAAAAATTAAACATTTGTTGTTTACTATTTATATGAAAGTACATAATTGCTTATGCATTACAAGATCAATAACAATGTTGCGCGAACTGAATCTCTTCTTTTCCTGCTACTGAAAGCAGTATTAATTCCAATAACCATCAAATACCTTCTTTTCCCAGGTGATCCAGTCTTCTTCAAATCCTCTGACAAAGGAGAGCCACTTAGTATGGACTCCTGTGCCGCCCTTGCAGCAGCCAATTCCATCTCTAAATTTGAGATCAATAACAACATGGTTAAATATATACTAATCAATGGTTTCAGTGCATTTCGAGTTACATAACATCTAAAAATAAAAATAAAATTGAAACCATCCTTCAAACTAGCAGTTTTAATGTAATAATATTACTTTCAATGAAATTGGCAATTTGAATGCATTGAAAATCTCTTTTGTGAATTATTTCAAGTTCAATATTAGATAAAGGAAATAGTTTGTCTCATTATATGAATTAAATTTTATCAAGTTTGTCTCTTTTGTGAATTATACTTTGCAATTTCAAAAGACATTTGCTTTGCAATTTGATCATGACCATAGAACATGAAATGGAAAAGCATTGTCAGGGACTGCAATTAATTTCCTTTATAAATGAATTCTGTAACTGAAAATCACATTTCTACCAATTCCTTCTCTACTTGGAAAGCGATTTTCAATATTAATACCTAACGCATTGCAGATCATGCTTCGGTATTTTAGTATGCTTTGACAGTCAAAAAAAAAAAAAAAAAAATAAAATAAAAAAAAAAGAATTGAAGTTTTACTGTTAAAAATTTACGAAAATTTATTTAAAAAGTATATGGCTATAGAGCTTGCGATTAACACTTCAAAAGGAAAGAAAACGATTCTTATGGCAAAAACAGTTTAGAACAATTATGTAAAAGTAGAAGTAGTTTTAAGAAGAGTAGAGACACAAAAATGGAAAAGAATAAACCATTTTTTTAATTCAATTTAATTAACTATATTAAATTAAAGTTGATGATTAAGTTTAAAAGGAAAGGTTATCCTTGTATTCAGTCAAAAAAAAAAAAAAAAAAGAGTTATTTAAAATTAGAAAATTATTTAAAAGTTATGTTGATGCATAAACTAAAAGGAAAGAAAAACATTTCTATGCAAAAACATTTAGAAAATTAGTAAATAAAGTAGTTTTAAAAGAGTAGAGACACACAAAAATGGAAAAGAATAAACATTTTTTAATTCATAATTAACTTATTAAATTAAATTAATGATAGTTAAAAGGAAAGTTATCTTATTATCTTGTTCCATCGGGCCCTTTTAAGATATAAACTCATCAGTATACATGAGCATTTGGTTTATTAGTGTCCGCTAATTCGATTTAGATCGAAACGAATCAATATAATTAAATATGTTGAAATTTTTTATTTAATTTGGACTAAAATCAAATATGTATAAAATCAAATCAAACCATATTTATTATAGTTTCGAATTCAAGTTTAGCCGAACTAGAAAGGTAGGGGACAACAACCTCCTGCAAATAGACAAAAGATGCTTACCGAGTCTTCTTGATTCGGTTCAAATTTAACTACTTTTCATAGGTTTAAACTGATTTTTTTTGATAAAAATCAAACCAAACTGAAAATTTTAATTTTTCTATCAAAATCAAAGCAAAAAACTAATTGACTCAACCGACTCAGTTGGGTTAGATAATTCAATTTTTCCAAATTGTAAACAGCCAACTTACTAATTTAATCATTTCATCCCTTTAAGTTTTTTCAAACTGGTTCACCAAATGCTCTTTGTATATATATATATATACATACATTGTTCTTAGAAGTGAATCTCTAATATCTGAAGAGAAAGTTACCTTTTGCTACATTAGTGGCATTGTAAAGGGACTTGAGGAGTAAGATTCTTTTCTCTCTTTGTTTTTTAGCATTTGGGAGTTAGATTCGGTTATATCTCCTTGTGGTACTTAATTTAGATAGGAGGATGAGATTGAGAAGCACATGAACAACAAGACAAAAGATACCTAACCGCTATTTATCACCATTCACCAATCAACCATCGCATGGTAGACTAGACTGTAGAGATAAGGGTATAAAGGCCATTAGTGTTCCTTCAGAAATG